TCGAGTTTCGCGTTGATTTCGGTGAGTCGGTAGAGCACACCTTTGTCCATCTGATAATGTTCGGGTAATTTGGACCTCTTATCCATTTCGCTTTGATGTTCCAACTCATGGATTTTCTTGGCCAGAGTTGGATCGCGATGTTGCATCCGTCGCAGTTCTTGCGCGGTGCGGTCCGTGACTTTTTCTGGACACGGTGGGACTTCGGGCTCTGGCTCTCCCGGTGTGGGCGCCGGTACATTGATGACCCGTATGTCCGCCGTGCTGAATTCATTCCAATCACTGATTGCGTTACAATCAGGAAGGAGAGGCTCATCCCATTCATATGCGGAGTCCTCGTCAGTTACTTGCAGCCTGCGCACCTTTATAATGCGTGCTGGGATCTCGTCTTTATAGTCCTCGAAGTTGGGGACTTGGTCCAACTCTGCGTGTGGGCCTTTGTCGTCGTCCCGTTCGAGTGGCCATCTGGACAATGCGTCGGCGTTGTCACAGAATGTGCCTGGTTTGTACTCGATGGTAATGTCTCGTCCCTGTAAGGCGAGGGCCCATCGAGTAAGACGAGGATTGATGCTGGGCCGGTTAGACTCGCATCTAAGCAGGTTGGTTAGGGCTCTATGGTCCGTCCTTACGGTAAATGGCCCGTGGTCGATGTAGTGCTTAAACTTTTGGACGGCCCATACTACGGCTAAGCATTCCCATTCGATCACGCCGTAGTTCTTCTCAGCTCCATGTAGGACACGGCTTGCGTAGGCAATTGGCCTCGAGTTCTGGCTGAGTATGGCTCCGATGCCAGCGCCACTTGCATCACATTCGATGGTGGTCTGCTTGGTCGCATCGAATTTGGCCAATATTGGATTTGGGGCTTCCGTTAGACCTTTTTGATTTCATTGAACTCGGCGGTGTGGGCGTCGGTCCAGTCGTTCTTCACTGAGCTTTCCTTCCGCAGGAGTTCGTACATTTTGGAGGTCTTCTGGGCGTAGCCCTGGATGAACTTCCGGTAATAGTTAGCGAGTCCAAGGAACGAGCGAAGTTGACGCTCGGTCTTGGGCGGTAGTTTTTCGGCGATGGCCGCTACCTTCTCGGGGTCGGTATGGACACCGTCCTTGCTAACGATGTGTCCAAGGAATTGGAGTTTTTCCATTCCAAATTCGCATTTCGACGGTTTTATCGTGAACCCGGCATCTCTGAGGCAGAGGAGCGTGTTTCTGAACGCTTTCCTGAATTCCTCGAATGTCTTGCCGAAGAATATCACGTCGTCGATGTATGCGAAGACGCCGCCTAGCTTGCGGGCCGGCGCCATAATCTTATCCATTGTCATCTGGAATGTGGCTGGCCCATTGCAGACGCCAAACGGCATTCGTTTGAACCGGAACATCCCTTCTGGAGTCACGAAGGTAGTGTAGTCCATGGACGCTGGATCCATAGGGATTTGCCAGAATCCGGACTGACAATCTACCTTGCCGTAGTAGGCGTTTCCTGCGCATTGATCCAGAAGTTCGTCTGGACTGGGCAGTGGGTAATTGTTCTTCTTGGTCACCGTGTTCAGCTTTATATAATTTATGCAGAACCGGGTGCCCATGGTCCCGTCGCCGTTTTTCTTCGAAGCGAGGACCACTGGGAAACTCCACGCTGCCATGGACGGTTCAATCACGCCTTGGTCCAGCATTTCCTGGACGTGCTTATTAATGAACTCTCGTCCCTTCCAACTCGTTCGGGTTGGGTTCATTTTAATTGGTGCAGCGTCGCCAACTTCTATGACGTGGGTCACTCCTTTGACGTTACCATAAGGCTTTTTGGACGTCGGGAATATGGCCCTGAGTTCCCATAAGTCCTGACGGAGTAGAGCAGTCTGCTCCTCGGTCAGGTGGTCGCCAAAATGTGCGTTGGCGATGTGGGCGCGGATTTCACGCTCCACTTCTGGATCTTCCTCTCCGGTTTGGAGGGAGTTGATCTTGGCGTAATCTACGTCCGAGATTTCCTCGTATGGCTCCACTTGGCCCATGTTAACTCCTTTCCGGAGTATATGGGGCTCTTTGGAGTAGTTTGACACCAGTATGGTGAAACTAGTGCCATCATGCTGGACTGGTCCGTCGAGCATGGCCAGACTCCGTTTGGTGTCTTGGCTTCCAAGGTACACAAGTTTCTGTCTTGGGTCGACAGGGAAATCGATGCTGACTTGGACCGGGGTGATGGACTCCGGTGGGAGTTCCACTTTTACAGTTGCCCGGACCATAGCATGGTCATTAATGGTGCGGTACCGGTTTGGATTATTCCCTGCCGCTTTTGGCCATGGTAGGGCGTCAACATTGGGAATGGACCAATCTACTCTGTCCTCCTTGATGTCTGGCTCATATATGTCACTGTAGTACATATGGCCAATCTTTGCACCTTTGTAGAGGATTTGGTCACGTCGGGACTTATTTTGGACCTGGATCCACGCATGTTCGCTATTTCGAGTTTGGACCTCCGCTTCGATCGGTAAGATCAAGCGGCGTGGTTGTCTCAGCGATTTAAAGTGGATTGGCCGTCCCGGGTCCATAGTCCGATAGGACCGGACCTTAATCCAGCAAGTTGAGTAGGCTGGTAGAGTGTACCTCTGATGAACGAAGACAACTTCTCTCTCCTCCTTAAGGCAGTCCGTTGGACTTTCTGTCCGCAGTTTGCGGATTATCGGTGCCTCGGCCCGGAGTTGGAGAATTTCTGTGTCCTCTTCGTCATCACTTGACTCCTCCGATGATTGGTTATCGGAGTCCGTGTCCGGTGAGTCACTTGAGCTTTGGACGTCCGAATCGGTAGACTCGAGTTTGTCGTCTTGCCCAGGTTTTGGCTCGCCCTTGTCCTCGTTAGAGGTTGGCGGCCTGCCGGTCACCGTTGGTGCCGGTGTGGTCATAAGATCCACTTTTTGGATCTCTGGCGTCCCGGTTGTGATTTCCTGTTTCTCAGGTTCGTCCGGTTCCGCCAAAGTGGTTGGACGACTCCCGTTAGGGAGTGGCGAGGCTGGTCGGCCTCCTGCCCAACGTTGAGCGGAACGGGTCTGTATGGCCCGTATTACCGCCTCAACGCCGTCTCCACATAGAGGACAAGTCAGTTGGACTTCCCCCGACGAAGGGTCCTGCTCGTTCTGGCTGGTGTCCCTTCGGTGGCCTCTCTGTTCTGGGTGTGGACCATCATTGAAGCGCACTCTTGTCGCTATGTGCGGTGCAGCTTCTGGCAATGGTTCCGGTATAGTCCTGACGTTGGTCAGGCTCAAGTCATACTTTGACCATATACTGACGGTTAAGCCAGGATGTTGGGCCACTTGTCTTCGAAGTGTTATTATGTCATCGAAGAGATCCGTGCACATCTTTTGGAGTGCTTTCGGAGCTTCCAGGTGGTACTCTCTGTATTCCCACACGAGGGCTAGACGTTCTTCCTCCCATAAAGCTCCTTCTTGGACCAAGTCGTCCAGTTCTTGGGCGAATGGTCCGTATTGTTCGGCAATCTGCGGCCACGTTAGTGGTACACCTTTTTTTCGAGCCAGCCCTCTTCTAGGGCAAGGAGTCGGTCAGCTCAATATTCCAGGAAATTTCTTACTCCCGTAAACCAAGTTTTGTATCGCTGGACCAGTTTCTCCTTAATCTCTCTGTCAGGCACCGGCCGTTGGCCCGGTGCCTCTGGTATCGGGATAGTCTTTACTATCCCGTGATTTGGCTTGAGTATGCCTGCACGGAATTGGGTCATGTAACGCTCGATTGCGTTATGGACGCGCAGCTCCCATATGAGGCTTTCAATGGTGTCCAGGCATTCCCAGCAGGTAGAAGGAGAACTTTTCGGTTGATCAAGCCGATTAACTCTCATTTCATCATCGGGTCCCGGTGCCTCTGGTATCGGGATTGACTTTACCGCGTCCCAAACGATTTCTTCGTTTGGCTTAAGGATGAACGTAAACTTGGAGTGGAGATAGTTACAACCAAGTAATACGTGCACGTCCGTTAACGTCGGTTGGACGAAGAACGTGTGGTGGCTCTTGTATCCCTGCAGTGTCACCGGTACGGTGCAGCAATGGGAGACCACAAAGGCGGTTTGTCCACCAACACCAAGGATTTTGGTGTTCCGTCCTAACGGCACCGTTTTGATACCATTGGCGGTGCAGAATTGCTGGCTGATGAGGGATGTCTCCGCTCCGGTGTCCAGCATAGCGAGCGTGTGGATTGGTCCAATTTGGACTTTGTGTGTCCATGCTCTTACGGTTTTTGGTTTGCGATTTTCGTCGAGACCAACTGTCACTTCCCGCATCACCGGTACAATGGGGATTAGCGACACTGGTCCTGGATCGTCAGGAGCATGCTTGGGTGCTGCTAGCTCCTGTTGGGCAGACTCTTCCTGCGGTGATGTTTCCGCTACCCGTAGGGTCGAAAACATATTTTTGGTGTTCAGGTAGGTCCGTGAGCTGTTGATGGTTCGCACCGTTAGTGTGGTGCCGAGGGGTCGTCCACCGGTCTGGGGCCAGCAGGTGCGGGGACTTGACGCCTCAAGAGGTTCGGCTGTCCACTCTTCTAGTGATCCGACCTCGCTGTCCGTACTTTCTACGGACCATCCTTCCGGTGCACTGTCGGAGGATGTGTCTGACGCCGATTTAGGGTACGTCATGTTCGTGGTGCGACGTCTCGCTTTGCCACGTAGTCGGTAGGCCTTAGGATTGGTTGAGGCTCCGAATTTTGGTGATCGGTTGGCCTTGGGGTTAGTTGAGGCTCCGAAAAACGACTTGGTCGCCAGCTGGACGACTGTCGATCTGGTCTCACTTCTGGAGCCAGATGGTCCAGGCGCGATTTCTACGCATCCTGGCATGGCCACACTTCTAGGGCCATATGGTTTAGTCGCTGGTTTGGCGCTAAATCTGGATCCGCCGGTGGGCTGTTGAGCGGCCGGGTTGGGATCCATGGGGGTTAGTAACTGTACAGGGGTTATATCCGGCGGTTTAGGTTCCGGTCTTAGGTCGGGAGAGTTGCCCATACTCCCCGACCTTAAGCGTTTCCCGTGGTGGGGCTGGCCCGGTTAGGGCCACCGCCGTTGCCATTTGGCTTCACCAGCTGGTCCGGTATGGGTGGTAGCGCTAGCCTTTCATTGGCTGGCGTTTGGTATCCCTGTTTTGGACCATTCTGGCGATTGCCGCCACCAGACCCATTTCTTGAGCCGGTGGACTGTCTTCGGCTGCCATTCCCCCCATTACCACGTTGTGGTCTGGGTTGTTTGGGTGGCACTAAGCCGAAGAGGTTAGGGTTTGCTGACCCGGTAGGGTAGCCCTTTGTGTAACGGCCCCGCCAATCCAAGTACCACTTTCGGTTTGGATTTTCGCCGTATGGCCTGTTTGCATAGCCACAGCCTTTGGTTGTATGGTTTCCCCACAGGCAGTGGCTGCAAGTAATTATTCCGTCTTTGGCCCATCGTTCGAACATGCGCTCGACTCGGTCGATGTACATGTCTTCTTGTTTATGGGCCTGTTCGGGGGTTAATGTTTGACGTTGGCCGGTTTGGCCCTCGCCACTCCCCGGGCTTCGGTTTTTTCCTCCGTAGCCGCCTTGGCTTCCGGTGAAGCTGGCGTTTTGGTCTTTGGAGAAATTACCTTTTGGTCCTCCACCGCCATTGCCCTGGCTATAGCCAAAGTTGCCCTGATTCCGGGCCTGGCCATAGCCACCACCACCGCCGTTGGGCGGTGTGGGCCCACGCTGTGGGGAGGCCAAGTTCAAAGCCGCGATAGCGGCGTATGTTGCCTCCATCTGGGCCTGTGTCGGCGTCAGCGTTTGCGGAGGGTAGAATGCCGGTTGTTGTGGTATGACTTGGGCCGGTGACGTTTGTGTGGCTATACGGATAATTGATCCGCGGCCCGTCCTTCCCTCGTACTCCGGCTTTCCCATGGTGTATTGCCGGACATAGTCCCGGAATTCTGCCGGTGACTTCGGTATCCGGATATCCAGAGCGCGGCGTAGTTCTGGCTGGCTCTTTCACATTCTCTCTCAAGAAGTGAAGGGTCATTGTGTCGTCCAAGCCAGCACGCGTCTGGAGTGTCAGCATGGCGTCGTAGTACTGCTCTGGGGTTTCAAACCCGTGTTGATAACACTGGTGTGTGATTTCCCCATGGCAGTAGCCTGCTGATTGTCGTCGCCGTAGCGAGTGGCGAATTTTTGAAGCCACTGTTCCACTGTCCAGCCGTCTTCGTCTTCACGATTGGCTTGGCCAGTGTACCGTTCCTTTACAGGGTCCGATAGGGCCATGTAAATTCGACTCATAAAGTCCGGATCTGGTTTGTTCAGATCGGACGACTGCTTACAGATCCGTCGGACCTGAGCAAGCCATCCTTTCACCATAGTTTTGTTGCCGTCAAATTTTGGCAACGCGGTGCGGACTTGAGCTCTCGCGTTTGCTTTCCCCATCTCCTGGGCCATTTTCTTAATTTGCTCTCGGGTTGTGAGAGCTGGGCTGGCCGGTGGTGACGGGGCAGGTGTTAGCTGTTGTGGCACCTGTTGAGGTTGAGCCCACATTGGTTGGCCCGGTATTATCTGGATGGCCCCGTTGGACGCCATCCATCCATCCATCCGTTCGGGAGCTGGACCAACATGGGCGCATTGTGGCCCTAGCCTGGTTAGGCTGCGGGTCCTGGTGGCGTGGCCGCTGTTGGCGGTACGCCTGGTGGTTGGGGCATGTTTTGGCCATGGGGCACATTCTGGCCCATCTGTGGCTGAGCTTGGCCCGTTGGGGCTGCCGCCGAGACAGGAGGGCCAAATAGGCTTAGTTGGCCTACTAGTGGTTGTTGCACCGTTGGTGTACCACTTTGGCCTCCCATCTGTCCTTGTGGCCGGTGGCCCGAACACTGGGCTCAGCGGGTTGGTCCGGTTTGGATCCACGCCGCTGGTATGAGCCTGGCTTGTGGCCGGGTGTGGACTGAAACTGAAGTCCATGTTCGGGAATATGGATGGATACAAGGACGGGTACAATGGCCTTGACCCAAAGTAGCTGTGGCTGGGTGTTGCCTGGCTTGAGTCAAAGCCTGGCCCGCTTGACGCAGACGGATGAGTCTGCGTTGCGGGTGTCACTATTGTCGTTGGACCAATAGTGGCTGTTGTTGTGACCGGGATTGGTGGTGGCGGCAGTGTTACTGTCGCCGTTGATGTTCCGCGGTCCACTGGGCTGGGAGGCGCTGGTATGGTTGGCCCTGTTGGGGGATGTCCAGCCGATGGTCCTTCCACAGCCATGTTCACATGGTAGTTTTACTGATGATACACTGGCTCGCGGTAGAAGCGTTGGCCCTGCCGTAGAGCCTCGTCGACTTTTTCTTGTCGGCGCTGTGTATCCGAGTCCGGAAAGGTATGGTGGGACGGTGGTTCTGCGGACAACTCGGAATTTAAATCCACGAGATGTGATTTTTCCGCATCTAAGCAGGCTTTTCCGTGCTTAGCCTTTCCAGGTCCTCGTTGAGTTCCGTAATGCGTTGGGTGGCCGCCTGGTAGTCTTTGACCAGGCCGGCGTTATTGGCCTCCAATGTGATGATCCGGTCGTGTTGGCTCTGGATCACCTGTTTGGCTTGTGCGAAGGCCTGCTCCAATTGGACGAAGTTTTGGTGTCCAATGGTGCTATTCTGCTCAAGTTGGACCCGAATGGTTGATTCGGTCTTGAGCTGGCTCTGGAGGGCAACGATCTGTTGCTGGAGTTGCACGTTCTGTGCCTCCTTCTGTTGAACCGTTTGGCTCATCAGTCCTCCTTGTTGGATAGTCTTCATGAGATTTTGATGGCTCTTATAAAGAAGATTGTATCCGTTTCGCAGGCGGTTCATTTCGTCCTGCAGATTGGACATGTCGTCGTTAAGACGCTCATTTTCATTCAAGAGGCGGTCCGCCTCTGAATCGGTTTCGTCAATGGTGGTCCGGGCCGCAGTCAGGTCATCCCTGACTTTGGCCAGCTCAGTCCTCGTAGAGGTGAGCAAGGCTTTGAGTCCCGCCACTGCCATTTCTAGGCTGTGGATTGTTCTGTTGAGCTGGTCTCGCTCAGCATTGGGACATGGTGACAACTTGAGCTGAGTCAGCTCAAGTTGTGTCTGGGCCAGTATGGCCGAGACACGTTTAGCCTCTGCGTCCGATTTGGACGCAAGGTCTTTGTGCTTGCAGATCTCGTCCTGCATCCAACGTTCGGATGACAGGGCTGCCTCTGCTATGTCCGCAAGCTGTTTGGTCAGGTCCCGTACTGTGGTCCGTAGTTGGTCGACTTCGTCGATCTCCTCGGGCCGGGTTGCCTGGATCAGCTTTGGCGGGTTGACGTTGGCGCTGTTTGTGTCCCAGATGGGCTGATTCAAGTCCATCCTGGCCGTGGCCCTGTTAAGTTGGGCCAGGTCCACAATTGGCTCTCGGTCCCGTTTGGACGGGCCAGACGCGCCAATGACGTCATTGGTCGGCGATGGCGTTGTTTGTGTTGAGCCATCGGTCTCAAACATGAGTGGCGACTGACTCGCGGGCTGTTGGCCCTGGTCATCTCGGTTTTCCGGTTGGCCCCGGAAAACCGAGCGATACTGCTACCATGTCAGATATGACACAGAAGCAGGAGGAAAATGGGGCAAATAGCCTTTATTGGTAACAATAAAGCAACCACAAACAAACACAGAAAAGCCAAGGCGGCATATGCTGTGGAAAGTAGCTGCCAGCGAGCTCGTAAGAATCGTGATAATGATTCAGCGTGCTGCGGGTATGCAACAGCTGATGCCGTAAAGCATGGGATCGCTCGTAAGCGCTGGGCTACGCCCCCAAGAGTGCAGAAATGCGCTGATTGGTCAGCGTAGACAAAGTATACGCTGAGTGAGCAGCGTAATAGCGCGGCACGAATGGCGTTGCCATGTGCGGGCGGGCGACAGAGCAAAACCACAAGAGGTGTCTACCGCCTCGAGTGTGCGGTCTCTGACAATATATTTTTCTGCATCAAATGCTCAGGAAAATGTACGCAATTCCACGGAATCTGAGAAGAGAGTTTTCTGTGAACTGGTAATAAAATAAATATATAGGATATAAAAACCTTTGGAATGATCGGCGCAGTTACTGTCACCTTCCAATTTCCGTTTTTAAGAGGGCGAGTATCCATTAACTCGCAAATTTAATCGCTTGCTAGAAAAAACACAGCAACACTGTGCGATTAATCGATTCGGCTTCTGGATTCCAAAACGGCTCGGTTTATTTACTACCTGATTCGTTAAATAGGTAACAGGCAGAAGATTCGTAGCAAATGAGTCAGTGGAGAATCTGCAGATGCCGGCTACAGAATGCCGAAGCCATAAAATATCAGCACTCAGCAGTCGATGGTGGAGGACTGGAAGAGAAAACATAGGACAGACTTCGCAACGCGGATGAGTAGATATATGGCCTGCCCAGCTGCACTAGATCACCGGAAATATCTTGAAATATGTGAAGCAAAAATGTGACTCGACTATTGTGTACCTTGGCGAAATGGTAAAATCCAGCCGAAGATGTGTCCTTGCCATCGCACTGCTAGTATGGAGCGGCAGGGAAGCAGTAGCAACGGACACCCTGCCGAATTTCTACGACGACCCTACAATCGATGGCAAACCCAATCCGAATGCAGTTCAAGTGTCAGCGCCGCGCCGGTACTTAACCGGTCCCATTCCCGTGTACCGCTTGCTGCCGACGACCATGGAGCAGATGCGCGACGTCGTCCAACGCGAACAGGCCGCGGTACGGCTTGCCCGGGAGTGTTCGGCCTACCAGAAGCAGTTGGATGACGAGGCCACCATTGAGAACTATCTGGATTCGCGGACCACCGGCGCTAACCGCACCAACAACCCGCGAAAAGAGGAACTGCGCTGGCTGTGGGCAGCGCCGGAACGATGCTGACCGGCTACAGAATGCCGAAGCCATAAAATATCAGCACTCAGCAGTCGACGGTGGAGGACTGGAAGAGAAAACATAGGACAGACTTCGCAACGCAGATGAACCAACTGCCTGAGCGGAGTCTGCAGATGCCGAAGCTGGGATTATGGTGAAAACATATTCCACTCAAATTTTACCTTCCAAAGATGGCAGGCATGATGTACTTTTTGTGTTTTTAAATTTGAGAAAATGTAGCTGCATATGTGCTTATATGAATACGTTCAGGTCTGATATTTGCGTTCACTCGTTTCGTTATTGCAAAGAACACTGACGGCAATGTAATTCCAGGGAAATCTGAAAATAAATTTGAGTGCGAAGCGGCTACAAAGATAAAATTTATTAATAAACCTAAATAGTACAAAGAACCATAACGCATTTTCTGTCGTATAGGCAGGGCGCATCCGCAGGTATCCCGCCGGCAACGTCGTAATATCCGCGTAAGAAGTACATGGTACCAGTGCTACCGCACAACATGTTGAAATTTACTTAAAAACGTTGCGGTTGCAAGTGAGCCGCCTCTCTACTCCCTGTTGTCTTGCATTCCACGACGTTCCATAAAGATACGGAGAGTCGAAGATCATGCGGTACACGCTGCGCAATCAAGTGCATTAGGTTGATATGAAACCATTGCCCTACTCGGGTAGTTGCGGACAACATAATTCTGCTAACTTGGCGGCCGCATTTTAGCGCATTATGGTATAATGCAGTTAACATAGATTTGGTCTTGCTATTCAACAGGCTCCCGGCAAAAAGGTTAGTGACGGAAGTATTATTAAACAGCTTCATTTTCTATATGTCATGGGTGATTGGCTTATCTACATCCGGGCATCGATAAAGCATGGTAGTACGAAAAGCCCAGCTATGTCAGTACAAATCAAAAGCAATTTTCGTTAGCTGGCACACTGGGCAGCGTGCAGTTTGACCGCGGCCTCCTTCATAACAGTCACCGCTTCCGCTCCACATTTGGCCGTCAACTCCGCCTTGGCCGTTCCGTCCAGTCTTGTTGAAGTCAGATTTAAGGCTCTGTAATTGTGCACGGAAAGACTGCTCTCATACTCTCGATGTTGCAAACTTTGTGTTATTATTAACTAATCTAAAAATAGACTAAAATGACCGGTTTATAAGACGCTTAAGAATTACGATACAGCCGCACGCAGTTTTATATACAGTAGTAATTTAATAATATAGTAATTTAATCATTCCCCGTATAATGTAATATTATATTTATACTTCGTATACTGTACTCGTATTTGCTCTTACTCGCAGAAATTATGTTTCCCGGCGGCGGTATCCGGTGATATGCGCCAATAAGCGGTGCGGTGTACTAACAGGTCCTTCTCAAAACGGGGACGCTGCTGGTAGCAGTTGGCCCGGGCGCAATAATAGCGGACGGGATGGATGGACAGCTGACACATTTCGGCCTCCGCTATCCACGCGTGCGCTTCGTAGAAACCGCCTTCCTCACGGTAGGCCGCCATCGCGGAATCACTATCGCAACGCTCCTCAAACCATTTCATGCACGACGCTGTCACATTCGCTGCGCTTCATTAGCAAAAGCTTTGACTAAATAACTTGTGGGTAAAACCGTTCGTTCATAGATGCAGAAATTATTATTGTCAAGCAAGTAGTACCAAATTAATGTACTAGCAACACAATCCTTAGATTTTACGCAATTTCCAAAACTATTTCGTGGCACGTAAAGTCAAATGGTCTGTTGAGTAAACATCGCGAGAAAACCGTTGGCTACATTGTACATAACATTCGACTGTGAAGATCGGTGATATAAAATGGACGAAAATTTTAGAAACGCTGCATTATACAGCTCTATCGCACCAAGTGTGGACAGTTGCATAAAATAAATTTAAAAATAATTTGGTACGTCATTTTGTTTATTGTTTTGCATTATTCTAGTGTAGTTTTTTATTGCGGATCCAGAAACATCAAAACCAAAGTCTTTTGATGTGCCAGTAGGGAGACGAGCGGTATTTTAGGGGAGGGGGTAGCGGTCGTTTGTTTTATGCTTATGAATGCTCCTGGAAAAGTATCACCATTTAAGATTTTTGCGTGCAATTTTTTGGAAGTTATTCAATGATCCACAAGGTGTCCGTTACGCGCTATCAGAGGCATCCTGCATAATCACTGCTTGCGGTGATCCCGGAACAAAGTGGTTCTCCCATAGACTTCTATGGTAAAAAGGACATACCGAGAAATGCGGTTGCCTAGCACACGGAGCTGAGTGACCTCGAACTGATAACTTCCATGAATCAGTCGTGGGTTACGTTAGTTTATTTTAGAGTGTTGACAAATATCAACAACACAGGCGAGGAGGTATAAGTGCCGGACGAATGGAAGAAAAAACCATTAAAGCGGCGACTAAAAAATGCTAAGACTGCTGCTTAATCTTGCTGGAACGAGATGCCTCGGGCTTACTGTGCGGACGAAAAGTTTAAAATCGACGCTCAATACCTTCTGAATGAGATTTTATCAAGAACGGGTGCTTGCGACATTCGGCGGCTGTTCGGCGAAGGCGCAAAGGAGGTCATCCCCGTATTTAACGGGGCCCGCCGTAACTTTTCAAAGGTCACGCAGGCTTCATGGGATCCGATAGGTGTCCTGCATACATCGCAAGAGCCTTGTTGCGAAACAGCCCCAACGTATTAATTTTGCTTTGCGGCATCAGTAAAATTTTTAAACAAATTTTAAGTCGGAAGATTTCAAGATGGCAACCACAGTCAATGGGTCGAGCCACATTTTTAAACCGGTCGGTTTTTGGTTTTTATATCGCAGTAAAGTAGAACACGCTTTCAGCAGGGCAAACCAAAATCCAAAACATGCTAAACACATGCAGCAACCATATCAAAATAAAATAATTATAAATTTGTCGACTCCTGACCTTTAGTGATTTTTGAGGAAAAGTGTCCACACTTGGTGCGATAGATCTGTAGATTGCACCGTATTATAGTCGGGCAATCAACCGATCTTCTTGAAGACTGGTCGTCAAAGACTTTAAATTGCGAAAACGGTTCTGAAGTAAAATACGAGTAGCTTCGCAATATGTTTCGATTTACATAAGCCTCGGCAACCGGAACTTACGCGCGGAAACCGTTCCCAAGCAATCGTATACAGCAGATACGAATTATTTAGCTGTAAGAATAACATAGAACAGCGCTTCAAAATGTCTGGGAATTGGAAGTGCAGATATATATCCGATAGCGAAATTTGGTGAATATAAACAAATATGTTACCTTGTACCGGGCCGTTGCGTAAATAATACTCGTACAATACGTACACACTTTTATACTGAAACTAGTGCTGCGAAAAGATGTGTTAGGATTCACCGACAAAGCGTTAACAGCAGCATTCTTCGTAGCAAGACCAATCTCTTACCGGCAGTAATCCTGTGCGTCCTGTTGTGTCGCCAGTATTTCGGCCTCCGACATGGGAAATGTTCTGTATTCCACATCCGGAAGGGACGCCTTACAGCGGTCAGCCAGTTCACTACAGGTTTCACCGAGAAGTGTGTGAGCGCACATCGTCACCGTAATTACGGAGAACAGCAACAGATTGATCATCTTTATAGCGCCAACAATTTATGAATTGTTCACCTCAGAATAAATTTTTACGCAGTCGCAGAAGCGCAGCCTAACCTATCGTCCGTAGTTTTAAAATGGTTCAAGCCGGTGTTGGATAGTAGCACAGAAAATTTCTCGTATTCAGCCTTAACCGGAAATTGTATAGTGCATTGCTGCATGATAATCTGATTGTCAGTGTTGCGGAGACGGAATAGTGATTTCTTGACTTGACTAAGTCTCGAGCAACACGGCGGCGATGCCGGCAGCGTGCTTTGATTGAGCTACAGTTGGTTTGGTACTTAATTATTATAAGTGTACAGATATACGGATTTCAGTGATTCCCTGGCAAGTGAGTGCATAGTTCGAAATGCAGTCAGCGATGTCTTTAAACGATAATTTTAACCCAATACAGAGTAGTACTACAACAAGTATAAACTTTGTGCTGATTCACTTGGTGCAACCAAGCGTTTTTCGCTACGAACCTACTGTCCTACTCCAACTCAGCCCTGGCGACTTAGGCGCTTCGGAGGTGTTTCCAGTACTCTCCGCTTGCTGATTTTACAATTACATTTTGGACGACGGACCGAACCGGTTTCCGCCGTTAGACCGGTTTCCACCGTTAGTCGTACACTGTGGCTTGAAAACTACGTGCGCATAAGATTTTTGCCAAGCAGTCTTCTGTGAGAAAAACGTAGCCAATTGGTGATGGTCAGAAACAAAGGATGGTGAGGATTCTAATAATTACTGTTCTCCCGCAGTAAAACAACAGGGCGAAAACGCGAAATATCACTCTTAAAACCAACTAGAACCGCTACACGATACTTGTTACGAGAATCCACTATACCAACCTGCTCCTTCTGCTTCCTCAAACAGCCAAAATAATCCCAGCACAAATTACTATGCCTTGCATACCACAGCATATTTATTAAACGAATGCCTTTCTGAACTGGTCATCGATGACCTTAACATATACGGCTCATGTAGGCACAGGCGCACAGCAACTGCAAGTAACAGCTAAACTAACAGACACGACAACTGATCGACCGGAGTGTAGCGAAGGTCCTCTATATTCAAGACCAATGCATTGGTGGATTTCTGTCCGTTACGAAAATCCGTTACGGAACTTCATTACAGAAGTTTGTTACGGAAGTGTGTTACGGAAGTGCGTTACGAAAGTTGAATACGGAAGTGAGACTATAACGTCATGCAGCTGACCGGTATGACGTAATCGCAGCCAGTGTCATGACGTCGTGGTTGGCTGCCCTGCCCATGATGAAGCAGCTACAGAAAATATACAGCAACCCTTGATTGCTTCAATATACGAATATGTTCCATGCATCTGCATACTGCACATGAGTGTGATCAGCAATAATGGCTCCCGGAAAAAATGTTCCCCTAAAAAATTTCTTCCTATCCCCTCTGTTACCATCGCTCAAGGCCATAAGGTTCAAAATGGTCATGAGGGTTATGCTGATAAAACCAAGGACCGACATGGGTTTTCGGTTAGTTTATGTCATACACAGTAACCTTGCACCGCGCGTAATTTTGCCAAAAGAAAGTGACCCGGCACATGACACAAAATTCGTGGGCAGGCACGACAATTTTTACTTTCGCGCATTCAAAAACACATTCGCATCAAATTATTTCAATGTGCATACTAAGCAGTAAGCAGTGGTTGGTATTTTATAAACATTGGCATGAAAACCGCAACATCCGGTTAGGGAAATTCCGAAATCTTTGAATGTATTTCGGTATACCAAAATCTCATAATGGACCGATCTTTTCAAATTCTGCACGAAAATGCACATTGGCATAAAGACCGTTTCGCCGAACCAGGTTTTCGCGATGTTTGTAATATTGTACTGTAAAGTGAATTTTAAAACTTCTAGAAATGCTTCTTTTTAATTTTAAGCAGATGATGCAAAGTTACAAACATGGCTGGTTGTGTAAACCATCTACATGTTGATGTGCTTTTTTATGAAAAATTTGAAGAAGATCAGTTGATGATGAGGCTTTTGGTGTTCCTCGGCACGTTGTAACATTTGGAATTTTGTTTGACCCATAATTCCCCCTCCGGATATTCTGAGCTTAAACGAATTTCACGCCCGTGTATACAAATTACTTCGCCCTACAAAGCCATAAAAACAAGGCAAAAAGGTGTTTTAGATTACTCGAAAGCGGAAGTTTTCGTGTACGTACACAATTTTGGTATCATTTCCCGGGTCATTTCCCTTAAGTCACGTTCCGGTCTGCCAATTCCCGCTAACGTGCATTTTTTTAGCACAGTGCTGTTTAGAAGCAGGAGACATAAACATAAAATCTAAAAAAACGACTCCTGCGGGTCAAGAAAGAAAACCGCACCAAACTACGTATATGTTAACCTGGCTTTTCAGGGGGGGCCCGTACGGCGCCTCCGAGGGACCTCCAAGGGACCTCCCAGGATGCGGCCGTTATGGCGCCATATCCAGTGGTTGTGCAGATTCCGGTACATACCGTCCGACACCGGCAGGCGGATGGCACACGAAAGCGTAACACTCCCGCCCTCCGTGGCATTCGTGAAAATCGGGAATGCCGCCGCGAAGACCTCGCTTTGTTGGGTGATCAGCGGCAGTAGCATAAAGCGCTGTAAAACGCGAGGGCGGGGCGTGTAGGTGGCGTCGAAAGGGGCGGTTAGGATGCAGCGCACGGAGCCCCCGAAGCGCAGGGTGATACTGAGGACCTGGAAGATGAGGGTATGGTTGACGCGGGTAAAGCTGTAGTCCTGTCCCGTGACGTCCTCCACCGGCAGCGGAACTGGCTGACCGGATCCGAAGACGGTGCGGTCTAGATGCAGCCAGGTGGCATCGCGTCAGTCCCGATAAAGTACTTGGCACGAGAATGTAGCATCCTCCTTGGGGCGCGGCCGGTGCACTACGCTGTCCGCCACGTCAGACGCTGAGGCCAGCTGCGTTAGTGTGATGCGCTTGTCCTGTCGGCTGTTCAGCATGCTTTCTCCAACATGCCGTTCACGGTCAGGTAATCATGAATCAGTAATGGGAAGCTGCGGTCTTCTGACTACGGATTTTTTTAATGAGCTGGCCAGGCGTGTCAGAGAGCAGGCTGGTGAAATCCGCGCAAAGAATTTTTTGTTACAACGTTTTAGTATAGAAATTCAGCGTGGTAATGCTGCTTGTGTATTAGGGACGGTCGAGAAGCAGCATCAGCTACGGTAGATGGTTTGTTTTTGATCTGCTAGCCACCTGGTGTTTCGTTTTGGTTTTGAAGAGGAAAAATCTTTAAGCCCATGAATCAGTTATGCATCAATGTACAGTATTCGGTCTTATTAAGGGATTTGGCCCGGTACATAGTACCAAATTCGGGTATATACACGGGAACTTTCGCTCTCGCGCACTCCTAAATACATTTTTGCATTGCTTTATAACATTTTGTGGCCAAAGGATTTATATACGTAGGCGTGAAATCCGTTTGCGCGCGACATCCGGTTCGGGAGTTATAAATGAAATAAAATTCCAAAAGTTTAAACGCGCGAAGTTGTACCAAAAGTCTCATTATGAACCGATGCTCTTCAAATTTTGCACGAAAACGCACATTACTATGAAGATCGTTTTGGTACTGAACCAGCTTTCTACCATTTTTTTCAAATTTTAAATTAATTTTTATAATTTTTGAAATTCATTTTAAAATTTGAAAAAAATGGTAGAAAGCTGGTTCGCTACTAATAAGCTATTTCACTAATAACTCCCGAACCGGATGTTGCGTGCACAAACGGTTTTTTCGCCAATGTGTACGAATCCTTTGGGTACAAAATATCATAAAGCAATGCAAAAAAGGGTATGGGAGCGCGCGACAGCGAAAGTTGCCGTGGATGTATACAGATTTGGTGCTATGTACCGGGCCAAATCCCGTAAGCTTCATAGTAAGAAGTAAAGCCAGTCAGTAGTGCGTTGAGAAGGTTCAAATAATCCGGTAAATGCCGGTATGTACGAGTACAGAATTCTGGTACACCATGTTCCGCGCTCTCCTTAAACAAATTTCTTTGCGTTTGCTTTAGCACAATAAAAATCCGAATTTTTGGTATCTGTATGCGTTGTATATTTTTGCGGGCGCAACATCCGGTTGGCACTGCAACGTTATCGGTGAAATAATCCAAGAATTCTATGTACACTGGTTTGTTTTGCATACCCATGCAAAGCCTTATTATGAAATGATAACCATAAGTACTCAGCCAAAGGGTAGAATTTACTCGAACATACTTTTACATACCTTTTTTAAACAGTGAAAACGTTAAATGATTTTTAAAACACAAAATTTTTGTTGTTGAATTACTTTTTTCTTGTTCAACAATATTTTATCAAGGAAATAGATCATTAGATCTATATTATGATCGGCCGCACCGCGGAACTTGGCTAGAAAAGACTGCCACCTAAATTAAACATCCGCCTTCACCATTAAACTCAGCATGTTGCAGAAAAGTGGAATACGCGTTGACAACTTGACGCCACTTCATAAACAGGAATTACGAGTCCGATACTGCTTCATCAGTACAAGTTGTACTTCAGTTTCTAAATGCTGTGCGATTACAAAGCCTAGAAACAAAGAAATTTCTTTTTGGCCTTTAAAGGTCACAAGTGCCGAGACGCTGAGCGTTTAAGCGGCCCTACCGCAGAACGAGAGATGTGCCGAGCGCGAAAAAAAACACTACGCGAATATTTATTAAAAACAATCATTTTTTTAATGTACTTTATTTCAATAGCGTGATAACAATATCAAGACCTAATTACAGTTAAACGAAACAATGTTCTCTATGGTACAAACCGGCGAGATTTGTGGTCTGGAGTTTTTGAAACAGAACATCTCTTTAGCAATTCACCGTGGTAATGCTGCTTCAGTAATCGGTACCGTAGAGAACGTTGTTTCGTTAACCGTAATTAGAACAATCATTAATATTTATATAAGAATAATATGTAATAAGAACAATCGAACAGCTGTAAGTGCAACTTAAATAGTAGATCTATTAATTGGACGCAGTTTTATTACCTTCTTCATGGACAATGGACGACCTGCCAAACGAAGACGCCATAGCCTCTTATAAACGATTATGTCGTCTTCGCTTTTAAGCGACATTGTTCATGAAGGAGGTAACAGAACAACGTCAGCATACAGCATTTCATGCGGGTTGCAAGCGTATTTATCTAG